GTGCAACGTTTCCGGAGAGACCCACCCCACAATAGACCATCCCCTAGAGGATTTAATGAGAAGGTACAAATTGATTATATTGGTCCTTTGCAGAATGGAAAATATGTGTGTACTATGGTAGATTGTAGTACCGGATTGGGACATGCATGTGCAAGTAGACATGCAGATCAAAGCTCTACTATGAAAACTATTTGGAGCTGGTGTGCAGCATATGGATGTCCTTGGAATGTGACTTCCGATCAGGGTTCTCATTTTACTGGTAGAAATGTTCAGAAATTAGCTGACGTTTTAGGAATTAATTGGGATTTTCATTTGGCCTATAATCCACAAGCAGCAGGAAATATTGAAAGGTTCAATGGATTATTAAAGACTAAATTGTGGCAGATAGGACAAGATGTGCCGTTTGACAAGGCAATACTGATTGCAGTTTTTGAACTTAATTCTAGGCAAAGACTGCACAGGAGATCACCCTTTGAGGAAACATTCCAAAAGGACATCGATGTACAGGCAGACGGGGACCCAAACCCAGATAATATAAGACCATATAAGGTGTGGATACGTAACAGAAAAGATAACTCTGTGATTAAAGGTGAGATTGTATCACACGGACAAGGAAATACCCTATGGGTATCAACTGGAAAAGGGGACCTCAGATTAGTAAAAAGCCAAGATGTTGTCACTAGGTAAACGTTTGTGTGTTTGGTTTAACATATGCTTTATTATCCTGATTGTATATTCTTGCTTGTTTTTGGGTGGATATTTTTATTGTAACGAATGGCAGACAGCTCTTTTGAATGGTTCTACTTGTTTTATTAACGTGAATCATAAATTGTTGGCACGGGAGTTGCTACCCTGTTATGTACTTAATTATACACTGTGTTTCTGGTAATGGCACCTAGGACTTTGTTACTTTTGCTATTTTTGCTACTTTTGATAGCCCTGCAGTTCTATTCAGTAATGGGAAATCAAACTACAACTCCCACTACTTTTACTACTACAACTCCATATTATTTTGGTATCAGGAACATTAACCTGACCAAGCATTCTTACAAAGATTGGATCTTCAATTATATTAATTTCACTCATTCACTTCAAGAGTGTAATAATTCTTGTGCAGTAATACCACAATATTGGAGAAGTAACAAATTCCTACAAAATTTTACTGCTATTAGATACTTGTTTTATCATAATTATGCATTTTGCCACCATTATAACAAATACTCCGCACCTAAGGGGTGTGACCATTTTTGGGACATCAATACAGTTGGGATATATAGCCCAATGTTTAGATCTAGTGCGGATGGAGGATATTCTAATAAATATGAAACTAACCCCCTCCGATGTCACCTGGTACCTGGGATTATGGATATGTGGTCTTATAAGCCACATTTTGTGTATTATTATAGGAAACTTGGAGGCAAACCTTTAGTTAAGAGCTATAATGCTACAGCAGCAGTGCTTAATAATCCAAACCTTACTGTATATACTTTTGAGGAGTCTACAGAAGAGAATGACTTTACATGTATAGAAGCAGCAGAAAAGGATGTTGCATCACTGCCTTTTCAGGTTTGGGTGTCCAACAAACAGAATGATTATAATTTATTCGATTATGAATATGAAGAATATGACTATTCTTCATATGATGATGGAGAGGAAGAAGGTTCTGATGAATTTACAACTACAACCCCACGAACAACTACGTTGGGGATAAATTTGTTGCCATATAATGATTCTAAGAAAATGTTGGATGAGTGGAAAGGATTGCCTAGACATTTACAAGGAGCTAGGCCATTGCCTAGATGGCCGCAAGTTTTAGTTGAACCCTACGGGACATGGTGTCCAAAAGAGTTACAGCAGTATCTAGATTCCATGAGCACTAAACAAAGGAATATGTCTATATATATTGAAGATGTGCAAAGCAGGACTCATTTGAATTATACCCATTATGTATCTTGTGTAGCGGATTTTCCTAATTTACCTATATATGGAAAGTTCGAGATTCTACAGAATCCTGATAGATCCTTAGAAATACGGAACCAATCTTATCTTACTATAGATAATTGGTGGAAAGTCAATACCTTAGGTACCGCCACTTGGCGATCACCTGTTGTGTTGACCGACCCTTTACCACAGCCATTTACCCATAACTTGGTTAAACCCGTGGCCACGCCTCCTAAAATAAAGGATAAAATCGGGTATGTTTGTATCCGTAGCATTTTTGGAGATATGCTTAACCGAACACAGGGACAAGCATTTATTGGTAGAGTTTGCTTCCCTGTTGATTCAACCTTCCTTAAGTGGTGCCAATATAGATATTATTATAAAATTGGTAATTATTCATCTGTAACTTATAAGATTCACACACAGGCCTGTAGGCTGGGTCCAGTTTACAGGACGACTGGGGTATTACATCCTGAATTTGGAATGTTTAATCACTCTGGATGGCTATTATTTGAAAACAAAACAAGGAGGTATGTCTTTAAAAATGCCAACAATGAATGGGACCTCTCAGAGATTGTGGATGGCCCGAAATTGGGACAGAGAGTGCATAGTCCAGGGTTACATGAGTATAAATTCACCGTGGACAAATACATTGTTAACCAGACAGTGTGGAAAAACTACACACAATATTATAATATATTTAATTGGACATGGTGTTATAATTTTAGCAGACAAAATTGTGTACAGAATCCTCTTCATGCTGTATATTTGAATGCCTCTCATATGCATCTTGAGGTGAATAATACGTGGCATAGGTTTGATAATCAGTCCTGGCAACCTGTATTGGTTGTCACACCTAAGGATATTTTGGAAAAACACTTTTATAATGTTACATTTCTGCAGGTAGATTATACTTATAATGGATCCAAAGGAGAATCTTCAAAGTGGCCTTATTATAAATGCGAAGACTGTACCTTTAAGTTTTATGATAATTTCTTTGGGACTTTGATTCCCGTGTTTAATTTGAGTGATGACAAAATCAGAGTGAATGTCCATAATATGTCAATCCCGATGGGAGTTGATTCTAATTATGTGGACACTAAAAATGTTAGTTTAGCTATGGAAAGATCTATTTGCAGATGGTTTCCACATTCATGGCAATATGTGATTGGTATTCATAGGTCTATTATGCATAATGATTCCACGTACTATGATATTCCTCTTGATGTAAATATAACTGGAAATGTTTCCAAACATTATGAAGGTGGTAATGTTGTATTAGGCAATGAGGAAAAACAAACGAGGGATTATACTTTACATCCAACAGTATATTCTCTTGCATTTGTACCACCAGATTTGGATGAAGTTACTTTAGTGAATTACAAAACAGAAACTTACCTGGTAAATGCTGATGACTACTGGTCATTGAAGACTGGGTGCCCTAGAGCACAGCTCTGGGATACTATAATTAGATACCATGTGGATGTAGCAGATAGAAGAACTCTGAAATGGTGGTTGACACAAGGAATGGATTTCTCTACTTGGCCTAGTAAAATATATCCAGGAAAATTACCTTATTACTGGTATATGTTATTACCAGGAAGTGAAAATGAATGGAATCTTTATGATATTGTAACACATGATGTTTTACATAATAATACTGATGTGTTTGATGCACATGCAGGTAATCATATTATATATAGTACAAAGATGGATATGCAGAAATGCTACATGGAACCGACCTCTTTGAATCCTTGCTTAATTGATAGAGGAGGATTTAATGAAACCAAGGGATGGGTTACTGCCCATTTCCCAAGAGCGGTCCTCTTCCCACGCAAGGAAAAGGACGGTAATTTTATGAAGACTTTAGAGGCTCCAGGATTTTTACCTTTACTACATCAGCCAGTTAGATTTTTGATACAACCACAAGTACAGCCAATTGTGTTACGATTGTCTGTTAGTGATTTGTTGAAAGGTGAAACTGTATGTCCTTCTTTTGAGTCTACTGTGTTGCCAGATTTGTTTTATTCAGTTCAAAGAAATGCAGCAGGACGGAGACCTTTGCAGTTCGCAGCGATTGGCGCTTTCCTGGCCGGAGCAGCTTTGGGGGCAGCAATCGCTGGAGCAATGACGGAGGAACTTCGAGTAGAAATTTCAGCTCTTCGAGGACTTCAGAATAAACAGAACTTTGTTATCTCACAATTATCTAAAAATCTGCACTCCGCGTCCTTGCTTATGGAAAGACTTTCTGCAGAACAGGAACTTTTGAAACATCATGTTGATTCATTAAGTAAGGTGATCGAGACTATGGATGCATCGTGGAATGTACGCATGAAACAATTGGAGGCAACTCAGGAGTGTGAACATCTGCAGGCAATGATCACCGCGGGATTAGAAGAAATAAGACTGTTATTTAGAACTGGCATAGGCATGGAAACTGCATCAGCTATAACCATATTAGATCCTACAAAGGATTCTTGGTGTGAAACTGGTGTCTGTATGATTAATTTATGGCAAATGTCGACATCTAAGGTTGTAATAGGATATCCAACTAAGGCTATACCAAAGAAAATTGGTAAAGATTGGATAATACCATTTGATAAGTTTTATTGGTTGAAATGGAACAATATGTCATATTATGTGCCTAGTGAAGCCACTTATGCGATAGGTAAAACAACTGTTATAGCCTATGATCTTTTCTCAGATGAACCTAGGACTTCTGATATAACTATATCTATGCCTCAGGCTACTTTGTTAGATCTTGGGAATTTTAATATGTTGTCTTGTTATCCTGAACCGTACATGGTTCAACGATGGCAAAACATTTCTTATAGTGATTCTTTGAGTCTGAATGCTGGTTGCCATATACATACTAATGTCATGATGATGGAACATATGAATTTGACCGTTCAGAAACATCTGTTTAGGAGTTTGAATTTTACTAACACGAGAAATGTACGAGTCCTGACTCAGGTGGTTTATTTGTCTAATCATACTTTTGGGTTACATACTTTTGTGCCCCAGCCACCTCTGTCGGAAGAATATAAGCATATGATGAAGGCGACGGAGGCAGCTAAGTCCATTTATGCTTCATTGGGAAAGGAAATTGAGACAGTACATAATCAAACTACTGAACTTCTCCAAAGATTCTCAGGAGAAACTCATAAAGTTAAAATGTTGGTTGATTCCGGATACTTGATTCCGCGTGACTTTCAGTATACTTATGATTGTAGTTTTGTAGGTTTCTTTAGAAAATTGGTTCATGCAGATGTTAGTTGCATTATGAGATGGAACCCTTTCCATTGGCTTAAGGAAGGATTGCTATATGTATGTTGTTTTGTATTATTTGTATTATGTATTAAGGTTTGTTTAAAGATCAATAAGTCTGCAGGAAAGAAAACTTACATTAAAATGAATAAACTTCAACATTACAGGGACCATGAAGCGAAAGGCACTAAGAAAATCAAATTCAAGAAGGAGAAGGACGGAAAGATTGAGGAATTATTCTGAACAGTTGCACTATGCAAATTGTCATCTTTGCATCGAATTTCATGTAAATACATGGTTTTTATATAGTGCATATACACTGTTTGGGCAGGAACGTTTTTCTCTTTTATGTAGACTAGTAACCTTACGCAGTGGACCATGGTGTCCACTGGATAGGACCTTGGAAGGCCAAGTGCCCTCTTTGTGTATGTTTTTGAATCATGTTTGGAATTGTATTTCTGATAATAATTTGCATTGTGATGTTTATTGTAGATATAATATACATTTGTGTGTTAAGACTTTATTTGGATTGTTCACTGAAGTGATGAAGTCTGATCATGATTTATTAACCTTACACTCTAATGCAGGTACTTTTTATGTTAATGGACTTATTTCACTTAACTATAATAGATCATTATTATTTGGTGATGCTGTATTGTGTAGAATCAATTCGCAATGCAGACAAAGGAATACATATGTTCCTAGATCTTTATTTGACATATGTTTAAGAAACATTTGTAAGCCTTACTTTATTAAATTATGGACTTATGTGGATTGTCATCAACACTTACCTAAGATTGGTTAATATTGTAGAATTTCTTGAGGAACTATGTCTGTGGACCAGATAATCATCAAACGGATATTAGGACGCAAGCTGAGGAACGACCTATTATTCAGGAAGGACCGGATGACTCCAATTCCGATGTTCTCTGAAAAAGATGTTAATTATCCATTTATGATAGTTCACAATTTGGTGATAGATTTGGATCTAGTAAAGGATTTGGATTTGGACATTTATTTACGATTGAAACAACTTTTCGTTCCAAGAGTGAAAGCTCCCTTCTGCTGTGAGTTTCGTGCTATGCTTCAGCCTTTTCTGCACTCCTGTGTGGTCGGTGGCTGCATGGATGCCGTGGATTGCATCTTCCAATCTGAAGATTGGTTTGCAGGGCCGCGACAGCCCATACGTTTCCCCGAGGACGGGCAACTTCCGAATGGACGACCTAAGACAGGGGACCGTACTTGTCGCTTTGATACATCGGCACCATCAGTAACATCGGCGCCTCCGTATCAAGGGGGTGGAATGACAGGAGTAAACATCAAGGATGAACAAACAACATGAATCAGCAAAAGGACTTGTTTTGGACTTGTTTTGGACTTTGCAGTGACTAAGTGACTTTTTAGTTGTAAACATGTTTTTGGCTATAGGATGACTAGATAGTATGCCCATGTTAGATAAGTTGATGATGTAACTAGGTAGTGTGCTTATGTTAGATAAGTTAGACACAAACAAGTTTGTTGTAAACATATAGAGTATATAAGCGCGAGGGAAACTCCATGTATTTGCTCACAATCAACTCTCATCGCCTGAGAGTAAGATCGTGCAGTGTGAGCCAGTCACCTCGTGTATTGCTTTGTGTGGTGTGCGAATAAACCAGCATTTCAAAAGGCAATCGAGTTCGTGCTTGGTGTTCGCGTACGTCGCGGTCCGGGGTCCAGTGCAGATATCCGGAAGGGAACTCCTGGTAACCAGACAAGGCTGAGAAGCTGCTCGTGACATGACCCCACCAGGAAGTCTCTCCCAGAGTCAGGGCAGAGGGAATGACTATTGTGTCTTAGGCTGCTATAGGGTGTGGCAGCTCTCAGCCCTCTCAGGAAACATTCAGAGCCCTGGGCTCATCCCAGCCTCAGCCTGTGGCCTTTCCTGAAGGTGGGAGGGTCTAGAATTCCAGTAGGGTAAAACATGTGAGGGGCTGGTCAATTAGAGACAGGGACTGAGTGATGACCTCCAGGTCATTTTGCTTCCTATGCTGGACAGGCAGTGGGTACAGTCCTGAAATTTCCAGAACCCTGCAACTTCATCATCTGACTTCATCATGTCCATTTTGGGAAAAATGGACTAAAGTGCCTGCAGCTGACCTTTGACTAGGACAGAACCTCCTGGGAAGGGGTACCTGTGCACTGTCCAGAGTTCATCTGGATGGAGGCAGGAAGTCCCTCCTAAGTCCCTGTGCTCAGCCCCTTTGTGGAAAGGTGTCTATTCTCATTATACTGACAGCCAGACCCCTTACCTTCCACCCATCTGACTTTGTCATGAACCACTCTTAAGGGTGTGGCTCCCAGCCTGTTCTATGCTCACTTCCTTAAAGGGCCAGCTGGGCCCAGTGGGCACAGGTGAGACACCATGACCAAGTGGAGTATCATCATCTCCTTTTTTTTTAATTGAGAGAGAGAGAGAGAGAGAGAGAGAGAGAGAGAGAATTTTTTAATATTTATTTTTTAGTTTTCATCAGACAAAACTTCTTTTTTGAATGTGGTGGTAAGGGTGGTAAGGATTGAACCCAGGCCTCATGCATGCCAGGCGAGCACACTACCACTTGAGTCACATCCCCAGCCTGAGTATCATCTTCTGTACATTCCTGAGGGCCTCTCCCTGCTGAGATAAAAAGAGATATTTTGTCTGTTCCAAAGTGTGGATGGTAAGAGGGGAGCTGAAAGTGAATATGAGGGGTGGTTTGTCCAGCCCTGGACTTTCTGTGCTCCAGGGCTTTGGGAACTTAAAATATGGGTTGAAAATATTCAAACCATAGAACCATCCTTTTAGATCAGAACATGGGATGATGGGCTCTATTTTAGCTAAAAATATGCAAATGTATGTTGAATAACCAGAACAGTGAATTTCAGAGATTGTGCATCAGGACTGGGTAGTGGCACAGCTCTCTCTACAACACTAAACAAGCTAATCAATAAACAGAATCCAAGCTCAGGATGCATTTGCAACCTGTGGAAAAAGATGAAATTAAAAGTTGGGATGGGGGCATGAAGCTGTAGCATAATGTCCTCTAAGCTGATCAGAGGTGGGTCACAAGGGCCCTAATGGCAGCCACCTCCAGGTTCTTCCCTAGATGTGGTTCTGTGGGGATCCTGGAGTTGCCTCCATGTTTGTCTGTTGTTCCCCAGGAAATTCCTATGGACAAAGATGCAGGCCTGGGTTGTTGTGCTTGCATTTTTCTGAGTTTAACACCCACATCCAGAACTTTTTAATCTCTTTCCATAGGCAGCAACTGCATACTGAGCCTGAGTTTATCCAGCTGCATGTACTGGTGTTTCTATTCAGAATTCACTTTTCCCTCTGTGAGGTGTACAAAGGTAAGAGCAGTGCAGAGTCCAGACCAGACTAGAGACCTGAGGGAGCTCAGAGACACCAGGGCCTCCATGGCATGGATTCATAGCAGTTATGCTATTTGTTCACCCATTGAAGCACATCCTGATTGCTTAAGGTATTGGGGCATTGTGAATAGAACTGCTATATGTAATTGCATGCTGTTATCTAGATATACTTTTTTGAGGCAGTTGTCTATATTTTTAGGATCATGTGGTGGCACCTCTAACTTTGGGGAAAATGGCCAGTTTTTTTTATAGTGGTGAGCTGTTGTATGCTCTACCAGCAATGCACAAGAGTTCCTGTGGCTGCTCATCATCCTCTTGGTTGATACTACCCTTTAGTAAAGACCTTAGCACCTTAATAGTTGTGCAGTGCACTTTGGGGTTTGTGCTTTCCTCATTACAGGTGAGACTAAGAGTCATTTCTATGCTTCTTTGCCATCTTGTATCTTTCTTGTGCATTCTCTGTTCAGATCTTTACCCATTATGTTGTGTTATTGTTGAGTGTCTTACTATATTTTGTACACAAGTTTGTTTTAGACATATACCTTCCAAAGATTCCCCCGGTCTTTGACTTGTCTTTTTATTTCCTTAATATGATTTTTTTTACAGAGCAGTTTAATACAGTCCACATTATCAGGTTTTTCTTTCATGGATTTGTTGTTGTTATTGTTTGTTTGTTTGGTAGCAGGGATTGAACCCAGGGGTGCTTAACCTCTGAGCCACATCCCCAGCTTTCATGGATTTTTTTTTTTGGGGGGGGGCTGTATTTAGAACCTCATCATGAAACATGTGGTCATGCACATCTTCTAGAATTTTACAGTTTCCCATTTTAAATGCAAGCCTAGAGAGTATTTTGATAGGTTCTGGCATCCATGTGTGGCTTCTTGAAGTGTGTCCTTTTGCAGTCAGTGCTGTCTAGTCTAGGTTTAAAAACAGCTTGTTGGGAATTTCTGGAATGCACTGAATCTTCAGTTCAGGTTTGAGATAATTTCATCTTAATTATCTTGAGACCTGAACAAAGTATATATGCACTTATTTATATTTCATTTGATTTCTTTCTAAACATTTCAAGATTTTCTGAAAGAATGATTGTATTTTAAGACTTACATGAAAGTACTTCAAATTTGGGGTGCCTATTTTCAATATTAATGTTTTAAAATTTTTCTTATTCCAGTTTATAAATTTCACTGTTTCCTCTACATGATTGCTGAAATCAATGAAATTTTGTCTATGGGCCATGTATTTTGCTGCTTGCTATCTCCATCCATTCTGATCAAGACATAGGATGGTAGGTTCTATTTCTTTTTTATTTCCAAAATCATGACCTGGAATAGTCAGAACTATGAATTTTAGAGCTTCACTGTGCCTAGCACAAGAGGGTGCAGCTCTGAACAGTGAACACCCAGCATCCTGCACTATGTACAGTGGCCAGCAGGGGACACTCAGAACAACTTTCTCTGATCAACTGCTTTTGGGGGCTGTGTTCTGTGCCCTAATCAAACTTCCTTCTCCTGGGGACCCACCTGAGAGATGCCACATCTAGGGACTCCTAGGGGCTCTATATAAGGTGTAGACCAATGTTATTATTATTATTTTTTAATCCTGGGGACACACCTAGAAAGATACCATGGCCTGGGGTATCTTCTCCTTGGCACCTACCCATGGAGACTCCACTGTGGATTCAGGATGATTGAGGTCCATGTGAGGAAAACATGAGGAAGAAACTTCCTGTGCACTGCCTGGTGTGCTGAGAAGGAAGTTCTGCCATGTTCTTTACTTTCTCAGGTAATATTTTAGCAGAACTTATTTACAACAGTATTTCTCACTGAGGCTTTGGCTGCTCATTATCATGGTATGTCAATGTGTTTTGTGTGGCTTGAGTGTCTAAGGACACAAATGCCCCCTCAAGATGGTGCAGGGAGAGCCCAGTGCCTGGAGTCTCACTGGGGCCTGAGGGTAAGGGCTCATGAAAATGCAGTAAGAAGCTCTCAGGAGCCTCTAGGGTGAGAGATGTAAAGATTATGATGGATTGCACTACCCTGAATCCTGGGTAACTGCAGTATCCTCATTGCAGTTACCAGAGCCTTATGCAGTGAGGGCAGCATGGGTCAAATGACAGACTGTACTACCCATAATTCTTGGGAACCCGCAGCTTGCATAGACCTCTGCAGAGAGGGCTGTACTGACAAAAAATTAAACTATGCTACCAATAACTTTTGGGTGCCTGCTCTGCCCAGGAGCTTCTGAGGTGAGAATTGCAAGGGCAGAATACCAGACTTCAATGCTCAGAGTCTCTGGGATTGCCTACATACCCTGTAACCCTGTAAGTCCCAGAGGTTTCTGTGGTGACAGTTGTATTGGTAGAACACACTACCTAGAATCTCCAGGGTACCAGAGAAAGCATGGGTCTTCACCTTCTGTGATCCTCAGCAGGACTGTGCAGGCAAACCCTAGACTGCATTATCCAGAACTGTCAGGGACTGCAGCTCCCAGAATCCTCTGTGGTGAGTGTGAAAACAATTGAACTGCATTACCCACAATGCTAAGGGGGAATTTGAGTTTCCAAATTTTCTGCAGTGAGTAGGGAAAACACAGGACTATATTACCCACAAATCTCAGTGCCAGCAGCTGTCAGGATCCTCTGTTGTGAGGACTATTGGACTGAGAGCTTAACTACAGTATCCAGAATCCTTGGTGGGGTGTGTTGCCCAGGTGAGTATGCAGACTGCAACTCCCAGAGGCCTCCCAAGTGAGAGTTGTGCATTATGCAGGTCAGACTAAAATACCTACGATTCCTGGAGACACACTGGTGAATGTGTTGCCCGCAATTCCAGGAGGCTTTCACAGTGAGGTCTTCAGTACCAAGGCAAGCATGTGGCCTTCAGTTTCATAGCCCTTGCAGTAGGGGCATGTAGGCAAAACAGTGGACTACCTTATCCAGAATCCTCAGGGGGAATTGCACTTCCCATGATCTGGTATAGTGAGGGCTGCAGGGTAGGGAGATGAACTACACTACCTAGAATTCTTGGAAGTGCCCTGTGTCCATGTAGCCTGGAACTCTCACAGGCTTCCACAGTGAGGGCTATGGAGGCAGGAGACAGGACTATGCTACCCAGAATCCCTGGGGGCCTGCAGCTCCCAGATACCTACCTTTTGAGTACTGCTGGGGCAAGCTTTATATTGCACTACACAGACTCCCAGGGGTGTCTAGGCAGGCTTGTGCTACACAGATCCCAGAGCTTTGATGGTGAAGTCCGCTTAGGTAGGATGGACTGCACAACCCAGA